TCCACCCACCTTGGTCAGAAAGGGAAGCAGTTATCCTGTTAAAGATGCTTCAGCTCAGAGGAAGGGGGCTCCATAAGCCAAATCCATCCCTTTTGCCAAGGGTGTAGTCAAGGTGAAACTCAACACACAATGGCAGCAAAGCCATCTGCAGTTACTGGGTAGCAAACACTCAATAAATCCCCTCAAAGATAAAAAAACATAAAGTTTTATTATTATTGGACTTATACAAACACAACCAGGTTCTGGTGAGGATTCAATGCTTATTTCAGAGTTTTTTGAGAAGACCCTTTTCCAGGACATAATGCAAAGGAACATTTATAACTTCAACGTTGGCACATGTATTCAGCATGTTTTGGGGTATGCTAATAGGTGAAGCACCAAATCTCCAAGGGAAGCATGCATCTTTGTCCAGACAAGGAGTGGAAAAGAAATACGAACATCGATATTCAGACACCATTTAGAAGACAGAGATGAAGTAACTTTCAACATGCAACCGCATGGGTACTCTTAAGCTTTAACAAGCTTCCTGGACTTTCTCCTGCCCCTTATTATTCCATTCAGTTGTGCCTTAAGTTTTGCCATATGTCCTGGGGGATATAGTCTTTGTCTGTCTGTAGACATCTATTCTATCCTGGAAATAAAAATTGAAAGAAGTCTGATTCATTTTTTGATTTTACATCTAGGTTAACCAGCTTTGGATATTTTCAGTACAAACCAGAATACTGTAATGTGGGTTTCTACATTTAAAGTTGTCAGATATTTTACAGAGATAGGTCACTTTAATTTTGTATTAATTGCTTACGTTCTAACATATAGCTGCTACAATTGTTACCTTTGTATAACAGACTCTAAAAATCAGGTTAAGTGGCAATTCCAGAGGAACAGAGTAATTTGACTGAACTTCTCCAGGTTTAGTCAAGACTCACCAGGTCTCTAAAGAAGGAAAACTATAAATGGAATTAAACCCTAGGGGGGTAGAATACAAACCAAAAACTCTTTAATTTTTGTTCATTTATGCTCCATAGTGTCTGACCCCAGAGAACCAATAAATACAGATGGAGCACAAAAAAAACGGACTCATCTTAATATTGTCCTTTTTTTAATGTATGTATAACTTCCACTAATCCAAATGTTTGCTTCACAGGTCATGTGTAAGAAAGAGTTTGCATAGTTTGTATTCTCGGGATCCCATTATGGTAAAGCTCAAAACCAGTTCACTCAAGTACTAGTAAAACTGAAAGAAAAGAAAAGGAAAAAAAAAAAAGAAAAAAAAAAAAAGTGACCAGATTTTCAGTTGATAATAAATCCCTTTATGTCAAGGAAAAAAAAAAAAAATGAAAGTCTGACCTCTGCTTTCCAGTATTACTTATTAAAACAAGACCACAGAAATAAATACGGTAAATTGGGTGCTAAGTAGAAACATAAATTTTGGCTGTCTAAATGCAGATAGCACAATGAAGGTATGCATCAGCTTTCTTAATCTGCCTCTACACCACAGAAAGCTTCTGGGTTGTACCCTCACTACACATTGCTCTCCTTAGCTTTCCCTTGCAAGAGAATTCCATAACCTAAACCAGCTTGGTGTCAGGAAGATTTATTTGGTGCATGCTCCTTTTGTATAATTATTCAATTATTACTCCTATAATGCATGCATTATCTGGAATAAGTCTTTACTACAACAGTAAACCTCTGAAGTATCTTATGCTTCTTTTTATAATTCTCCCTGCATCCTACCTCTCCCTGGTGAGATCTGAAAGGTATATTCGTCATTCTACACACAGAAATTTAAAGAGAAAGAAGTCCAACATTTCACAATCAGTGAGACAGCAAGAAACTCCTGTTGTAAAACCTTGATAGTACATCAGTACCATGAACCATACAACACGTTTCAGAAATATCAGTGAGTTTTTCAATCATATTAAATCTTCTGAGAATGGGTTTGCACCAAGATGCAAGGTTGTAAATTGTAGTGGAGGAGACACACACAAAACAAAACAACAACTAAAGAAATCTATTTTGGTCTCCCTCTTAGACAATCTCTAACAAACATAACCACAACCAACTCTTTTCAGAGCCCTTTTGTTAGAAATGAACCTGATAGAACATAGCACATATTCAGGTCCCTCACTCTGCCTTGCTCCTACTGCACCAACAGAAAGGGAAAATCATGGAAGTTGTGAAACGGCATTTGCATTTTGTCATGTAGGAGTTCTCCTAAAATAAAAACCCAGAGAAACAATTAGAGACAAGATATGCTAACCAAACAGTACCAGTGAATGAGAGACCTTCTTACTGCAATTGTCCTCAAATTTTCAACCATTTCATTTTTCTACTTTCTTGATAATTGTGATGCAATTGTCACACTACTTTTCAGTTATCGAACTCTTCCATACGGCACAGGATGTGATTTTGTAGTGTGAAAAATGAATGAAGCCTTTAGGTTTTCAACAAAGACTAGTGAGAAAAAGAGAGAGACAGCTACCCTGCTGTCCAATGGCACAAGTGCCATTTTTAACAAGTAAGCTAAAGCTTTTGGGTCAATATTAAGATTGCTTTTCAATTAGATTTTAAAGTGATATTATTAACTCTAATAGGTTTGCATCTATGTGTAGTAATAACAATAGATACCCAGGACTGCAAGATCAAGCTTATGGTAATCAAGAGTTTATAAGAAACTGAAAAATTAACTCAGGCTAAGGTACAATGTGATTTTAAAGCAAACAGTGATGACTGCATCACAATCCCATGCATGGAAAGTGCATTTTGGAACACAAGGGTTGATTTGTATGTCACACCCTATACACTCACAGAACAAGAAGTTCTAAACAAATCCGTAAATTGGCATGTTCAGTGACCTGGAGCTTCCGTGATTCTTGAGCACCTTGCTCCCATTGGAAAAGTCTAAAAATCTGTAAAAATGTAGACTACAACCTGAAGTATTGATTATGAAAAATATATTTAAAGCTCCCTGCTTACAAACCTAGATCCAGTTTAACTCGCACATTCAACTATGCAATCTAAAATCCTTAATAGTGACTTCCAAAATTACCACCCAACACACAAAAATGCAGAACAAAACAAAACCCTACCAAGGTCCCATTGGGGCAATAAGACTATTTATACCTGGGAAATAAAGAAAATATATAAGCATTTGCAAAATCCCAGGCAATATTATTCTCAGACCTGGCTTTTATTGGCAATTTATACCTGCACTTTAAAGCCTAACAATGGCTAAATACAGGACAGATGATTCTAAAAATCCACTCAGTGAGACTTCCTGCATATAACATAACAAAATACTTATTTTGAAAACTAATTTTCAGTAATTTGAGAACCAATATTTTGTGCTGCTGGGTTGTAATTCAATACAGTTTATAGAGATCAGATATGCATCTGTCACATCTCCAAAATGCAGACATAAAGCTCTGTAGAGTCAAAAACCATGGTATATATGCAAGAAGAATAATCCATTTACTTTTCCCTGTCCTCCTCTGCTGTGCTAAGGAACAAGAAACTAAATTTCTTCTTCTCTTCGAGAGAGCAGTAGCTATGAAGCGGTAAGCCCCCTAAAGGACTGACTCATACAGAACCAAACTTAGTTTCTTCCACAGCAGCTGTTCCTACATCTTGAACCTGGAATACATTCCTCAGAGAGAGATCCCACATCTACATAGAAACATGGGTACATTAAGAAATGTTATCTGAGCAGACAGGTACTGAGATTGGCTCTATCACACTAACACCTGCAATACAGACCACTGTACAACACCCATGAAAAGCTGGATAACTCAGAAAAGAGAGGAACAGCACAAGGACAATCAACACAGCAACTGACCCTTTCTAATGCCACTGGAAGTGATGGTGAGCACATTTATATAAACCAACTTCTTGTCTGATACAGATGAGCTGAACCGATACAGGTGAGTTTAGGCATTGGCAGTAATGAAGGAAAATTGTCTCAGTACAACTTAACTTCTGAATTAAAGGCACAGCATGAAGATTTCCAGCCAGAGGTTATCTGCATTGGCTTTACACCTTCAAGTTTAAATCTACAGATAGTTTTTGTAGACCAGCAGAGGGAAAGTTAATTCTAAACAAGGCAGCGTAGAGAAACCATGGTGGTTCTGCTCTGAAGGGACGAGAACTAAGAAATGGGGAGTCACAGGGGAAAAAAAAAAAAAAAAAACATAAGGAAAACGAATGTGAATTTTACGGGGAGAATAGACTTCTCTTTTACAAGACCCTCACAAACGGAATAGTATAATGAGACCAGGCTGTCACTGCTTTCCTAATCAAAAAGGTACTGCTTCAAAGAGGAAGCAACTTACTGTGAAACATTCTTCAAAGCAGCTCCTACTCCCCTTACGCGTTATTCATCTGATAATGGCTGAAATTTATTAATAGCAATTTAAAACACTGAGATAACTTTTCTAAACGGGGATGAAAGGCAAACGCTTTGGAAACTCAGCAGGGCATGCCCACAGGGAGAAGGGGAGAAAAGCGCAAGGAAACAGGACAGAATAACAAGTGCGAAGCTAGATTTGCTTTGCCTCTGAGTATTCCCTAAGGGCATCGCCTCCAGCCCGACAGGCCCCGCGGGGCCTGGGGAGCAGGGGACCGGGGGCTGTCCTACAGCTCTCCCAGAGGAAGAACGGACAGGTCGGTATCGCGCAGAGAGGAACCCTCGGAGGCGGAGTGGGGTTTGTTCCCTGCCTGGCCCCCGCATCCGGAGGCCTCGGCAGGGCTGTCCCGCGATCTGCCGCCGGAGCCGGCCGGGCTGGGCGTCCGCCCGTTCCTTCGGGGTGGAGGATCTGCCATCGTCTCTCAGCCTGCAGTGAGCGGGAGGCAGGCGGGCCCGGCTGACAGCGTACTACCCTCAGCTTTCTCTCAAATTATGCGAAACTTCGTTAAATGAGTAACTGCGCCGGCGAGCCCCCGAAGCGGGGCACCGCCGCCATCCGCTCCCCACGGTTCAGGGATGAACAAACGCGCCGCCGTCTACCTGCGCAACACCTCCGCAACACATTTTATTTACACGAAATCAACTCGGGGCATTGTACATTATATACAGATATTTTCCCCCTCCAACAAGGCAGAGCTTGTGCAAGATTAGTAGCATCCTCTGGAGCGTATCCGACAATCCACGAGAAATGTCCCCCCCCCAGCGAGGTATCAGCTGTCGGAGTCCAGGTCACTTTTCCCGTCCTCTTGTCTCTTCTCCGGAGAAGTTTTAGACGCTTTATTCCATTTTTGTGCGTTTTCTGACTCCTCCGAAGACGATCGCTTTTGCCTCCTCCACTTTGCCCGGCGGTTTTTGAACCAAACCTGTTACGTTAAGAAGTCAAAATATTAGGGAAAATAATGAAAGCATGCAAAGCCGCAGACCCCCCCCCCTCGCCCCGCCCGAGCCCTGCTTCGTACGTAGCAGTTCGCAGCCGCGGAGGAGCCGCTCTGCGGCAACGGCTGCCCTCGGCCGGCGGGGAAAGGAGAGAAAACTACCGCTGCCGCTCGAGTGGGAAAGGCTGAACCCTCTCAGGAGCCACGGCCGCCTCTCGCCATTTGCTGCCAGCCGTGTGACGAGCTCGTCCAGCCGCCCCAGAAAGGCGCTTGGAAATTATTATTAAGTAGCAGTAGTAGTAGTAGTAGTAGTAGTAGTAGTAGTAGTAGTAGTAGTAGTAGTAGTAGCAGTTGCAGTAGTAGTTATAGTAATAATCTTTCCTTCTCCCCATGCAAACCTGCTGCTCTGTCTCCCGGAGCTCGCCGCGGCCGGCGGAGCCGGACTAGAGCTGTACCGAGGTACCCCCAGACCGAGAACGATTAAACGAGAGAAGGAGAGGGTAGAAAAGAGGAAAGGAAAGCAAAATACCTCCACTTTTTCCTCTCTTAAGTGCACCCTTCTGGCCAGCTGTTCCCTGGTGCCCACGTCTGGGTATTTCGTTTCCTGAAAGAGGTTTTCCAGCGCTTCCAGCTGCTCGTCAGTGAAGATCGTCCGATGCCGCCTTTTTCTCCTGCAGTGCAGCTGGTTCAGTAACTGCAGCTCCGTCCGGGACAAAGTGCCCACGTTCATGTAGGGCAACATCTGATGGGGAACAGGGGACATCAGGACTGACCCAGTGCCCTCGTAACCTACGGACAGACAGACGAGACGACGACACGCTTTGCATGAAATCGCTGCTGCTGCTCCCCCTACCCCCATTCCTAATAAAAAAAAAAACAAAACAGAACAACCCTCCCGCCGGTTCCCGGCTTCTGTCCCTGCCCCGCGGCTGCGGGACAAAGAGCACCCGTACGCGGAGCCGCCTTACCTGCGGGGGGCACGCAGGAGCACTGCTGCGTGCCCAGGGGCTGTACTGCCCCGCAGCAGGAAGGGCCCACGGGTGACGCCGGCACATGCAGCTGCCCATAGTAGTAGCTGTTGTAGCCCAGCCGAGATCCGGTGACCGCCGGCGGCAGCGCGGAGGCCGGTGCCACCGCCCGGGTGTAAAATCCGCTGTAGTCGGAGGCGCTGCCGTAGAGCGAGTCCCCATGGAGGCCGGGGAAGACGACGGGAGCAGCGCTCGGGGGTAGCAGCACCGAGTCCTTGCAGCGGGGTCTGGCCGCCAGGATGTTGTCGATGCTGAACATGCTCACAGGCATGCCCAAGGCGTGCGGGGCAGGGCAGGCGATCGGCTGGGGCGGGGGGACGGGGGTAGGCGGCTGGGGAGTTGGGGGGGGGGAGGCTGGAGAGACACGAAATCGAAACTTTTCGGAGAAATCTGAAGAAGGGATCGGAGAGAGAAGAGCAGAGCTTTTTCCGAGGGCAGCCTGCGGGCAGAGTGTGCGTGTGTGTGCGCGCGTGTGCGTGTGTGCGTGTGTCTATGCGCAGGATCCACCCCTGGAACTTTTCCCCCTCAATTCTCGCCTGTTCACTGATCTCAACCCAGAGGGCTGCTCGGAGTATAATCCATCTGAACCTCTTCCCTTTTTTATACCCAGGCGACGTCATCCTGGATTTAGTTCCTGCTAATACGCAGATGACAAACAAAACCAGATTTGATTTTTTTTTCTCCCCCTTTTTGGGGGGGGAAGGGTGGGGGTTACACAAAAGAGTGAAAGGAACCCCGCACTGTGTATTGAGAATTAATGAAATTAACGTAATCCTTTCCATTAATGGCTTTTTTTGAAAGGCCTCAGATTTAGGCTTGCTCTCTGCTGCACCGGCTAATTGCCCAGGTTAATCTTATTAATGCCATTGTGAAGAAGTGGTTAGCAGCTCCTAGCTTTGTCTATTATGCACCTACTTCGCTCGTGTTAGTTCACATTAGTGGGTGCGATTTCCTCTGTCTGAATCTCAGAATCATTATTTATACTTCGAATTCGTTAAGCAGCACTTCAAAGAAAAAGAAAAATAAACTGCGATACAACTATACACCCTCCCCCCCGCCAAGTGTTTCGGTAGCTGGGTTTGAATCTTGCGTTCCCCGGCTCTGAGAACTGAAAGGGCACTGAGAAGTATGCGTTCCTCTGAATTAAGCTTTATGCAGTGAAGCAACAACCTCTTCACTGAGTAAATGAACTATTTGCCTTTTCTTTTTGCTATTTTGCTAGATCACCTGACGGAACCAAGACCCATGATTGTTGTACACTGGGATTATTTTCCTTTTTTCTTTCCTTTTTCTTTTTTAATTATTTAGCAGATTCAGATCCAAACAAGTATCCCTTTTTATTTTTAAACTAGCCAAGAGGTGGAAATGTTAAAGACCAGTGACATCCAAATCTCCGGGTCTGGTAGGTGGTCCGATTCACTTCTGATCCATCCCCCTGCTTTTTTCATTTCTTCTTGAGGAATAATTTTTCTTTTCCTTAGGAAAAATAAAAGAAAAAAAAAACAGAAAAAAAAAACACAAAAAAAAACCCAAAAACAAAAAACAAAACCAGCGAGCCCGTAGAGTTGCAATGATAAGGAGAACTTTATATTTTGCATGTTTCGTGAATTTAAAATGGAGCGGTTTTACGTCGCCAAAACTCTTCCTATTAAGACGCTTGACTCTGTTGGTAGCTGGCTCTCGTGATTTGCAGAATACTTCGTCTGTCACGACTGTCACTGGGAATCCACAGGAGGTAAACTGAATAAGATTAGACTATTTACCCCATCAACCTTCCATCAAAGAAGGTAGGAAACTGTACGCTGAAATGAAAACAAGCCATTAGGGTCCGTTTACGAGGAACACGTTATTTTTCCCTCAACAAAGAATATCCTCGTTAGCGCTTACTCGCACTTCATCTTTCCTTTCCTCGATGTTCCAGGATTTAAAACCGCATCTGAGAATGATCTGAACCAAGCCCCTATTTCTAGAAGAAGACTAGTATAAACGTTTTTTTTTTTTAAAAATCGAAACAAAAACCCCCAAACCATCCCCCCGTCTCTTACCCCCTCCCCTCCAAAAAAAGAAAAAAGAAGAAAAAAACCCAAAAAAAAACAAAACCCGCCAGGGCTTAATTCTCTCTTTTTGTTACGTTGCGATGTGATTCATTAACAGCATCTTTTCCTTACTTCAATTTATTTGCCGAATAATTGCTTTCTAGCTTTGAAATTTAGACATGAGCTTCGCTCAAATTTTACTTTTTTTTTTTTTTTAATATAAAGTGAAACTAATTGGCAGAGCTGGTTTGGGTTTTGTTTTTTATTGTTTTTTTTTTTTGGGGGGGGGGGTTGGATTTTCTATTGTTGTTTTGAGGGCTTTACTTTTTTTATTGTTGATTTGGGGTTGGGGCTTCGGGGGAGTTTGGGACTGGATTGTTGGGGGGTTTTCCGGTGAGTAATTCGCCGGGTTCAGCTTGCCCAGGCTGAGCGCAGAGCAGGGAGCTGCTTAATCTCGCCACCGGGATGCCCGTTCACGTCCTCAGGAGCTGTGCCGCAACGTGCGGTAGCGTCTCTTCGGCGGCCTGTCCAGCCCCTGCGGCGAGGCGGGCTTCGGGCAGGTAGGGCAGCAGTCCTCAAGAGGGCCAGGCCCTGGGGGTGCCGAGAGCAGCGGCACGGCCGGCTCTCCAGCCGGCGGGAAGGCGAATATCCCCTCCGCGGGTGCCTTTGGGGTCTTCGCGGGCTGTGCCCTGCCTACCCTGACGTGCTCGGCGGCGGCAGGATAGGACGGGGCTCTCTGCTGGACCCGCAAGGAGAAAGGGACGCGGGCGGAGGGGAGAAAACTCTGTCCCCAAGTTGCCCACCCCCACCCCCGAAATCCCTCTCATGCGGAGAGCCGCCTTGGGGATACCCTCCGTCGGGCCCGAGCTCTTTGGGTGTCGATCATCTCTTGCACCGGGTTTTACTCTCCGCGCCAGTCCCGATTATCCCAGGTGAAGGCAGCACAGCGGGACACGAGTTGGAACCTGGGGGTCAGCCGGGGCAAATACCGCAGGGGTCGTGCGATCGGGAAGGTTCTGCTGAGGGATGAGCCACCGCTCTACAGCGCTTCCCTCTATTCTTAATTTAGAGATCATTTTTTTTAGTAAGTCGTCAGCCCCGTGGGGAAGTTCTCTTTTGTTTTATTTTAATCTTAGTAATCTCGCCGTGAATTCCCCCAGTTCTGATACCCGCTTGGCCAAACCTGATCTCGGAGGTTCTCATTTCGCACCCGCTCTTCACCCTCGCAAACGTAAAATTTCTCTAAACAAACAATCAGTTGTCACACAATGTCGGGATGAAATTGTAATAACAAATGAAACGCAAGCAAATTGTACTGCATAGTGTTGCTAAGCAATTGTTTGTTACTGGAGGGTGGTCACAGCATGGGTTGAGAGAGAGATCTAAAGAGGAGCATAGCATCGGGCGGAACAAGCTGTTAGGTATGAAATACAGTAAACGCTGCACTGATTTTCAACATTATTACTCAAACACGATTTCATCCAAAGCAATCACCATGCACAAGACTATGAAAATGCGATGGTTGAGAAGTCGGCCGGTGTTTTGATTTACGGTATTAAGGAATAACTCTTGGAGAGCGGAGCTCTCCGCCTTCCCAGC